GTGGAAGTGGGGGATCCTCTTCCCCACTGGGTGCTCAGGATAGGGTCCTTATGATTTCTTGAGAGAAAGAATTTTATGAGACTCCCATGTGAGGATGAGTGATTTTTATTTGCATGGAATAACATCCCTGGGCTTCAAAAGTCCCAAGTCCCTTAATCCAGTCCTGGAAGATGTGCAACTGGGGATTCAGGAGGGCTAGAAATGAAGCTGGGTCCAGAGTGTGGAGATGGGTCCAGTGCAGCATCAGGCTAGTTGTAGTCCATTGGTCCATTGTGTGGGGTCCACATGGCTATGGGCTATGTGGGCAAATGCAGGATCATGAGAGTTGTAAGCCAGGAGCACAAACCAACCAAGAAAGAGAGAGAACTCCTTTGTTTAGGAGCTTATACATCTCAAATCTTCTCAAGATTGCAGTGGCCACACCTACTCTGCCCCATAACCTGTTCCCAGGTACCTTCCCTATGTCAAGTACCTTCCTTATGTTATCCAGACATAGGGCAATCAGGCAGGCAGGTGAGCAGTTAGGGGCATCAGGCAGGCAGGCAGAGTGGGTAGGGGCGATCAAGCAGGCAGGCAGGCAGGCTAGTGGTTAGGAGCCAGCAGTCCTAGATTGCGAGAGGGATCTCCGACTGCCCATTTAGGGATCCCTGTGCTATTGGGCCTAAACTGACAGTCAGACATCCCCTGGGGGGTCCCAGATTATGAGAGGGCGCAGGCTGGGCTGAGGGAATCCCTCTCCAGTGCACGAATTTCATGTACCTGGCTTCTGGTATCCTATATAATAAAAGGGTAACATGCAAATTGACCAGAACAACCATTGGACCAGTCACTATGAGGCACACTGACCACCTCTTGGTCCCGTTCCCTGGCTGGCAGGCTCCAATCGCCTGATGACCACCCACAGGGGGGCAGAGCCAGTGAATGGGTGGGAACAGCAGACCTCTTGGTCCCTTCCAGGTCTTCAGGCACCGATCACCCAATGGTGAATGGGGAACTGGGGGTGGGTGACAGCAAAGGGCAGGGCTAGCTGTGGGCAGCTGGGGAAGATGGCCTTGATTGCAAGCCAGGCCTTAGGATCGTATCCACACACGAGTTTCATGCACCAGACCTCTAGTACTATATAAAAATTGTCCTTAGGTCTTGCTACTCTTCAAAAGGGACTAGATAACATCCTATATTATAAAGAGGTAATATGAAAATTGACCATCACACCCTCACAAGATAGCTGCCTATGACTAGGCTGGCAGGGGGGGGCCGTAAGGGGCAACCAGGCCAGCTGGGAAGGGGGGGCAGTTAGGTGCAACTGATAAGAGACAACCAAATGACTGAACAGCAGGCTGCATGGGGTGACCAGGCTGGCAGCGGGGCCGTAAGGGGCAACCAGGCCAGCTGGGGGGGGGGGGGGGGTGCAGTTAGGGGCAAAAAGACTGGCAGGGGGGACAGTTAGTGGCAACCAGGCTGGTGGGGTGGGGGTAACAGTTAGAGGGAACCAGGCCAGCAGTGGGAGAAGTTGGGGGCAAAGGGGTGACTAGGCCGGCAGGGATGACAGTTGGGGGTGACCTGGCTGGCAGTAGGGGGGGCAGTTAGGGGCAACCAGGCCAGCGGGGGTGGGGGGCAGTTAGGGTGATCAGGCAGGCAGGCAGGTGAGCGATTAGAAGCCAGCAGTCCAGGATTGTGATAGGGATGTCCGACTGCTGGTTTAGGCCTGATCCCTGGGACATCTCTGAGGGATCCCAGATTGGAGAGGGTGCAGGCTGGGCTGAGGGGACCTCCCTCATGCACAAATATCATGCACCAGGTCTCTAGTTTGATATAAGAAAACACTGCTCCAGTACTTCAAGTGTGCTGCCTTTGCAATCTTCAGTATAACCATCACCATGAAACCTTGTAATGAGCATCATTGCTTGTCATAGTTCTGTAACGTACCCTTATAAAAAAAATTCAAGTTTCTACTATTTTTGATTCTCTTCTGTTTATATCTATTATTTTAGATTTTTATTTTTGGTTTACCAAGTATATTAATTTTCTCATCTAGTTCCTTTTGATCATTTTAATTTTAACATTTTTATCTACTTAGCATTCAATTGTTTAAACATTTTTCTCAGGTCTAATTCTTTTTAACCATTATTATTAAGTCTAGTAATAATTAATGTCGTTTTCTAATACTTTTTTAAATCGAATTTATTTAAACAATACAACAAAATTTAATCAACAATATAGTTGCCGTTGTTTTCTACTACTTGTGCCCATCGCTCAGGAAGCATTTTAATCCCTCTGTTGTAAAATTCTTGTGATTTTGATGCAAAAAATTCGGTCAATGCATTTTCGAGGCATTCTTCATTATTAAATTTTTTTCCAAGAAGAAAGTTTTGCAAAGAACGAAACAAATGGTAATCGGAAGGGGCAATGTCAGGAGAATATGCAGGTTGAGGGAGAACTTCCCATTCCAACTGGCGCAGTTTTTCAGCAGTGATTCTTGCAGTATGCGGTCGTGCGTTATCGTGGTGAAGAATTACGCCCTTCCGATTAATCAGTGCGGATTCTTTTTCTCTTAAAGCTTGGGCTAACCTTTCCAATTGGGCACTATACACTGCACTTGTAATGGTTTGGTTAGATGGTAAAAGTTCATAATGAAGAATTCCTTTAAAATTCCACCAAACACAACATCACTTTTTTCACATGCAAGTCAGGTTTTGGCGTGGGCTGCGGAGCCTCATTTTTGTCCAACCATTGAGGCCGCCTTTTCAAATTAACATACAGCACCCATTGTTCATCTCCGGTAATAATTTGCTCTAAAAGCGGCAAAGGATTTTGACGAGAGAGGAGCGAACTGCAAATTGTGACTCTTTGATTACGGTTGTTGTCGGTCAACTCATGAGGAACCCATTTTCCAAACTTTTGGACTTTGCCAAGTGCACGCAATTGATTGGAAATTGTTTTTTGTGAACAATTTAAAGTTGTCGCAAGCTCTTGTTGGGTAATTTGAGGATTTTGCACCAAAAGAGCTTCTTGATCAAAATTGGACACACGGCCTCGACCACTCTTGTCATCTAACGAAAAATTTCCCTCGCGAAATTTCTCAAACCAACGCTGGCATTTTCTGGCGCTAACTGCATCTTGACCAAGAGCACTACAGATGTTTTTTGCAGCCTCACTTGCTTTTCTTCCTAATTGGAACTCGTAAAGCATGCAGTGCCGAATATGCTCTTCATCCGCCATCTTCTTAGCCCTAGTTTTGCAACAAAAACCAAACCAAACACAAACTTTTTCAAGCAAAACTTGTTAATTGCACTTCACACGTTCTGTAGATACCACGTGTTTGAAGGTTATGTCAATACAAGTCAACGCCAAGCAAGATTTTAAACGAATCTTTAAAAACGACATTAATTATTACTAGACCCAATACTTCTTATTTCCTTCCTCTCTTCTTTTAAATATTCTGGTAGTTTTTGTCCCTTTTGATCTTACAGTTTTCTGATTTTACAACACATTTTTTTTATATACTTACTATACAAATAGCAATCAGGAAATCTAGTTATAGAGACAGGCCACGCAGTTTCATTGATGCATTGGTCACAGTTGGAGGGGAAAACAGCAGAATTACTGTTGAAACCTAGCATTTAAGCCAGAGCAAATGGGCTTATTAAAACAGAAAAGACTGGGAGAGAAGTATGATGGAAGAGAAAAATAAGAGTTCTATCACCATCACTACATAATAAACAAAAAATAATTTTAATATCACAAATGTGAACAAATGCAGATATTTAAAAATGAATACTTTTAGTTTTCAAAAAAATTCACTATTTTTTTCTTTCTCATTTTTCAGTTAATCGATGACTTCTGGCATTTGAGAATATTTGCTGTAGATAATATAATATCCTAAATAGAGGGATTTATAGTCCAGGAAAACTCACTGTGGTATCTATATAGAGAATAGATTGAAAAAGGTAGAAGACAATGCCATTAGAATGAAACGTGTAGAGGTAGCCTACAATTTGATAAGGTGAGGGAGAAAACAATATACAAATCTAATAGGAAAGCTGCAGGTTGAGGAAATTTTATCTGATGTCCATCATGTAGAAGAAAGAAGCGTTTGCGCAGAGTGCAATGGTTCAGCATCAAGAAAAAAGTGATCATTTGATGAGTTCAAAATGGTACCTAGTTGTTTTAATAGGCATATTCAATCTTCTGGGCTTCAGAGGAAGCCTGTCTAGCCAATATGTTGCCTTTACTTAGCATTAGGTTCAATTGAGCATGGCTCTGCAGACCACACTACTTTAAATACTTAGTTTAAATCAGAGTAAGCAAATAGTAGTAATTTGTAAATGAATTAGACACGTGTTAAATATTATCTTAATGAGACCATGAGTTTCTCAAAGTTTAAGTGCCTTATTTTTTTGTACAAAGGTAGCCCTTTATTATGATTAAAAGAGCCAACGGACAGGGAGACCAACCCTGCAGGTCCCCCACTCTCAGGTTCTTCTCCGGCAAAACGGGTCAAGGATAATGCTTAGCACAGAACTTTTGAGGATGTCTAATGACCTAATGGATGTGTAAAGGAGAAGGGACTCTACCCTTGCTAGCTATCCTTAATCTCTCTCCTGTTCTCCCAGGATTGGGTGCACAGAGAAGGAACGAACTGTTTGTTGGTTGAATGAATGAGTGCATGACGCGAGCCAAAGACCTTCCTTTGGAATTCCAGCCTTGGAAAGCACCGGTCTTTCAGAAGCTGTGATATGGCCTGTCATTAAGGTTTTTTACTTTTTTTTTTTTTTTTTTTTAATGCACCTACTAAACTACAAATCCCAGTCGTCATCTGGAATCGTAGGCGTCCAAAGACTCGCCAGGAAGGCGGAAATCTAGCCGACTCGCCCAATCACGCCCGGGCAGCGGCTCCAGAATGGCCAATCATGACCCAGCTCGCTCGGCGCGCGGCACAGGCCCCGCCCCGCGCGCAGGGCTGACGAGTCGTTAGCGGATTAGGCGGCCGCGGGGGCGGGGCCAGAGGCCCCCGGCTGGGCCTCGCGCAGGGTTGGGCCCTCCTCGCTCCCGGCTCCGGCTCCACCATGGCTCCCAAAGGCGGCTCCTCCAAGCAGCAGTCCGAGGAGGACCTGCTCCTTCAGGATTTCAGCCGCAACCTCTCCGCCAAGTCCTCCGCGCTCTTCTTCGGGAACGCCTTCATCGTGTCCGCCATCCCCATCTGTGAGCGCCGGGGGCCGGCGGGCCGGGCTGGGCGGGGACGTGGCAGGGGCCGGCGGCTGGCGGCCGGCGAGGGAGCGCTGTGCCCCTCGGCTCCGGCTCTTCCCAGCTCGCCGGGAGCTCGGGGGAATCACGGTGCCCCCCGGGGGCCTCCGTGTTCCCGGCCGGGGTAGTGGGGGGCGGCCTCCCGGGAAAGTTGCTTGGGGCGCTTTGCAGAAGCGCGCCGGTTCCCGGGCCCCGGGCGCCGACCCCGGATGCACCGGTGCTGGGCTCGCACCCCCGAATCTGCACTGAAACCATCGCCCCAGTGAAGATCTGATGCTGACTTTCCCGCATATAGTCCCCCACCCCTCTCCTTTGCCATTATGAGACCTTAAACTTACAACATGACTTATTATGGAGAAACTCATGCACTGAAGGGAGAGGGAGGTTCCTGGGAACTCTCGCTCTGAATTAAAAGTGTAGCTTTTCGGTGAATCGATGCACACAGGCCTGAGCATCGTTTTTTTCCTAATTTGATGAGTTCCTGAGGTCCAGTACCAAGGGCCAGCGATTTTCTCCCTTGTTTAAATTTTTTTTTTTTTTTTTTTTTTTTTTTTTTTTTTAACTATCCTATTAGGGCTGTTCTCACGTGGAAGGAAAAACTTTGCAGACTGGGCCAACGTTGTTTTTATGGCTCAGGCTTCCCCGATCCTGCATTTCCTGTCGCTCACACCGCTGCTGCTCCGTTGCTGGGCGGTCAAATCTAGATTTGTCTTCTCTTGCAGCCTCGTAAACTCCAGTAAAAGCCAGAGTGCAGTGAACGCGGAGCCCCTGTGGCTCACTGGCTGCCGGGAGCAGGGCCTTGGCTTCAGACAGACAGCCACGTCAGCACGTCAACTGTGGCTGAGGATTGCACGTGGCATTTGGGAATGGCCTGGATTTAGCTTAATAGCACCCCGACGAAAGAACTTTGAAGTCGGAATTGTTATTTTTGTGGAGCTGGAGTTCTCATTCTAGGAGAAGCATATGGAAGGTTATGTTTTTCGAGTGTTCTGAAATGGGGCAGGCTTTGAAACTGTAACTTGTTCCTGGGTGTCCTACTTCTGAAGTTTGCATATTCTGGATTCCCTAACCCAGACTATATTTTACCAGCCTTACCTATAGTTTATAACTGAGTGGTAAAATTTTCTTTCTTTTTGTAACCCCCCCCCCCCTTTTTTTTATCTTCAGGGTTATACTGGCGAATATGGCATATGGATCTTATTCAGTCTGCTGTTCTGTACAGCGTGATGACTCTTGTAAGCACTTATTTGGTAGCCTTTGCCTACAAAAATGTGAAGTTTGTACTCAAGCACAAGTAAGTATATTTCTTAAGTGAAAGTGTGATGCATTTTTATATACTAGAGTGGCTTAAAGACCACTTGTGTTTGTGTTGGTTTCAGTAAGCATTAATTTGAGATATATATGTATCTGTTTTGGGGCATATATTAATGCTCATATCCTTAATGTTATGAAGAATTATTAACTTACTTGAAGCAGAGACAGTGCTTCTGACGTTTCTATGAAAGTAGGTTTTGAGGGTGGAATTAGTCTGTAATCTTGGGGTTTAATCAGAAAAACAAAACCTACAAAGTAATTTAACATTTCCAAAGAAAGAATTGTGGAAAGAATTGTTTTGGGCCCTCCATGATCTATTTTTGGATGTGAACAAAGTGGCTTTGTTGTTATTAAACTAACATTTTTAATGCTACCTAATTTTTTTTCTGTATATGAAAACTAATATTTTATGATCACACATACTATAAAATATATCATTTTAATTATAGCTTTTGGAGAAAACCCAAACCACACAATTATAAATTTACACATTAATTATAAGCAACTAGAGGCCCTGCGCACAAAATTTGTGCACAGGGATGGGGGTGTGGGGGAGGACATCTCTCAGCCCAGCCTGCACTCTCTCCAATCTGGGACCCCTCAAGGGATGTCTGACTGCCCTCTCACAATCCAGGACTCCTGGCTCCCAACTGCTCGCCTGCCTGCCAGCCTGATCACCCCCTAACCACTTCCATGCCAGCCTGATTGATGTCTGATTGCTCCCCTGCCAGCCTGTTTGCTCCCAACTTCCGTCCTCTGCTGACCTGATCACTCCTAACTGCCCTTCCTTGCAGGCCTGGTCCCTCCCAACTGCCCTCTCCTGCTTGCCTAATTGCCCACAACTGCCCTCCCTTGCAGGCCTGGTCCCTCCCAACTGCCCTCCCCTGCTGGCCATTTTGTGGTGGCCATCTTGTACCCACATGGGGGAAAGATCTTTGACTACCTAGGGGCAGCCATCTTGTGTGTTGGAGTGATGGTCAATTTGCATATTACTCTTTTATTAGAAAGGATAGAGGCCTGGTTAGGGGCTGGCTGGTTTGCCCTGAAGGGTGTCCGGGATCAGGGTGGGGGTTCTCTTGGGGAATGGGGTGGCCTGAGTGAGGGGCCTGTTGTGGTTTTCAGGCTGGCCATGCCCCCTGGCAACCCAAGCTGAGGCCCTGGTATCTGGAATTTATTTACCTTCTATAATTGAAACTTTGTAGCCTAGAGTGGAGCCAAGCCTCCTGCTCACTCTGTGGCCACAGCCATTTCTGTTAGAATTTATGTATCTTCTATAATTGAAACTTTGTAGCCTAGAATGAAGGCCTGAGCCGGCCAGGGCTGCAGAAACTTGGCTTCCTTCATCGCCCAGGGCAACCCTAGCCTCCTGCTCTCTCCAGCTCCGTGGTTGCCGCCATTTCTGTTGGAATTTATTTACCTTCTATAATTGAAACTTTGTACTCTTGAGTGGAGGCCTGGGCCCTCCAGGGTGTGTGGAAAGCTTGGCTTCCTTCATTTCCATCCAAGTCTCCCTCCTCTCTGTGGTGGTAGCCATCTTGGTTGGAGTTAATTTGCATACGTGCTCCTGATTGGTTGGTGGTTGTGGCTTGTGAGTGTAGCAGAGTGATGGTTGATTTGCATATTACTCTTTTATTAGATAGGATTATATACTCTATTTCATAAAGGTTAAAGTGTGGGGGGAACAGTCAAAATTTAAGGAAAGGTGATATTTTTTATTCAGAGTGCTGTGGTGCTCAGGGGAAGCAGGTATACATTAATGTTTAATTGGAATTTCATGCACACTTTGATACTTGATTCAGGATAGCAGGACATTTGTCTGTTTCTTAATGGAGCCTTCTTGGTGCTATATTTCTTTGGAAGTACTTTCTTAAAGGCAGTTGGAATTTTGATGAGACTTGAAGTACCATTGTGCTTTATGTGTGCTTTTTCTTTTCATTTCCATAGTTCCCACTCTGGTTTAGATGCTGTTTTTGCTTGGGTTGTTGTAGCAGTCTCCATCTAGTCTTTTAACAATAGGCTGCCATAAACAGTATAAAGCATGTTACTCTATGTAATCCTTATGTTACACTTATGAACTGCCTTATGGGATAAAAGAACATGTATTTATCCTTATCAGCCATCATTTTTACCCTGTCATTCTCTTACTTAAAACTCAGCATTTATATCTGCTTCCCATGAGCACCATACACCCTATTCTAAGTATATGAAAACCAAGTTCTTCCAGGTCCCTGGAATGCAACCCACCTAACTCCTCCCAGTGTGGTTTCATCTCGTAGCATTGGTTCTTAGCTCTTCTTATCATGTCGTCCTTCGAAAGCGTCTTTTGCCCTCTCTCATTTAAGATTGTCTTTCTTCCTTGTCATCCTTACATGTCTTATTTCAAGACTTGGGAATCTTTTCCAGAGAAATCCTTCCTAAGTTTGTTTACCCCGTGTTAGCATCTTTCTGGTGACAAGGAATAGAAGTGATCTCAGTTAACGGATTTGTTTATTGTAAGGAGGACAGAACAGCCTCAGCAGCTGAAAGTGACCTCAGCAGCTTCTCTACTGCTCTTTTGGACCAGCGGGAGCTCAGCTTGTGAGTGACCGCAGTTCTGCTAGACAATAGTGATCAAGTCACCCTTGTCATCTCTCTGTTGTTAACCCCTTGTCACCAGCTGCCATTCCAGGATTCAGCCACCTCAGCCTCTGCTGTAATCGAACCTGGGACCTTTCAGTCTGCAGACCGATGCTCTATCCACTGAGCCATACCAGTTTTGGAATTATTTTTTAGTTATAGTTTTGCTTTAATATGAAATACTACCATTGCTATTGAAACTCCTATAGCTACGCAAGAAGGTTAAGGCTGGAAGCTCAAAGGGAGATGCTGAGTGTGGACAGGTATTAGTAGTAGAGGGGAGTTGGCTCAGAATTGACAGTCTGGATTTCTGTCCCAGCTTTGTTGCTCTTAAATGTGTAATTTTCCTTGGTACATTAACCAGAACTAAATAGCATAGTCACCAGGGATTCATTAATTGAACATAGAGTGAATAGATTTCTATCTCTGTTCCACATCCTGTTGCTTTTAATACATCCCCGTATCATGTCAAATGTTTTCATAATGGCACTGTGTGTTTTATGTTGCTTGTGATCAGTTCTTACTTTTTCTTCTATATTTATGGCTAATAAGTTTCTCCTACTTTGTGAAAAATATATGTTGAATCTAAATGTCATAATCTTTGGGGGACTTTTTGTATTTTATTTGATAAAATTCACCATGTATATTTTTTTGATGAGTATACATTTAATTTTTTCTTTAGCTGACTTGTCACTGAAGATTCTGATCTACTAATAGCATGAATATCACTTCCAGCCTTTTCTGGCTGATTCCATATGATCTTTTTGTGCAAACCTCTTCCCAATGGTTCATTTAACTAAACGTGCTTTGTCAGTCTCTGACCATTTGGTATTATTTCTTTTTATTGAAATTGTACTTGAGAGTAGAGTTAAAAGCATTACTTAGAGTTGTAATTCTTTTTTGTTTTGTTTTTAAGCCTAGTTTTCTCTCCTGTTATTTACTGGAATAAAAATCACGTATCATTTGCTAATGCCTTGTCAAATTTATTTATTGAACTGTAAATTATAGGCTCTAACAAAATGGATTTATAATTACTTATAACTAAATTGTGTTAGTAGCATTTGACTTCTGTTTCCATACTAAATACATAAACTTTGGGAATTTCTCTCTCTTAAGCAGAAATCAGACCCATAACTGTTAAACCACATCTTGAAAGTTTCTTGAACTCCTTCTCTTTTAACTAATACTACAGCATGATAACCCTGGAACTTTCTGTACAGTTTGTTTTCTGGAAATGTAAAGTATTATACAGTTGCCAGGACAAAATCTGAGAACAGAGTGTTTCTGAGAGAGTAATGCCACTCCGGGAGCCTGTGGAAACCTTTTTCTTCTCCTTCCAGAGTAGCACAGAAGAGGGAGGATGCTGTTTCCAAAGAAGTGACTCGAAAACTTTCTGAAGCTGATAACAGAAAGATGTCTCGGAAGGAAAAGGATGAAAGGTTTGACTCCTTGTTGAATGTGTTTGTGCTAACCAGAAAAGGAGGGGATACTTTGTAGAAGTTTTTGATTTCTGCTCAGAGAATGTGGGTGTCAGAACTGTCTGAGGCAAACATTGGTATTGTAGAAAAGATAGTAATGGGAATAACTGAATTTTGAGTTTTTACTCCTGCCTTTGAGCTGTAGACAGGTCATTTATTTCTCCCAAGAGTCCTAAGAAGGTAGGTACTGTTGTTATCTCCATTGTACACCTCAGGAAACAGGTAGAGAAAGCTTCAGTAACTTGATCAAGGCCTTACATTAGGGGGTGGTAAAGCCATGATAAGACCACAGGCAGGCTGGCTTGTGCTCATACCTGCTCTGCTGCAGAGCTTTGTCTGGTGCCACTTGATAGCTGTGTGACCTTGAACTTATCACCTAACCCCTCTGGGTCTGAAAAGTGTACCTTGTGTTATGTGTTAGCATTCTTAGGTGGTGGTATTTCTGTTACTGAGCTGTCAGTCAGGGTTATCTGCTTTGGGAAAAAGAAAAATCAGTTTGGCTCCTGTTGCACAGTCCTGTGCCACATTTGTTGGTCCTGGCTCCCATCCCCAGTTTTAACTATCAACTGCTCTGAAAGGGGTTAACAGGCAGTCTTAACATCTGAGCAACAGAAGTCTCTAAATGACTGAGTAGACTTGTGCTTCAGAGCTGCCAGATGGTTGAATAGAGTCATGAATTGAGGTTGTTTTCATGGATCTTAAATTTTAGTATCTACAAAGTGGTTTGTGAAATGGAATTTTTATCCCACTTTGCTTCAGGAAGCCTTTGTGGGACTTGGGGTATTAAAGTGTGTGTAAAATAGAGCAATGCAATTTTAAAAGATTGGAAGCGATTTGAAAAGTGGGTAAACAAGGACCTCAAAGTCAGTTAGAGCAGTTGAGCACTAAACTTAGCTCTGAGCGTCCTAGTGTCAGGGGAAGCATCTGAAGTCATGCTGCTTCCATTGTCCCGTGAGAAGCAGAGTGCCGGTTCTCCTGAAAAGAAACTTTCCTGGCACTGAATCCGGAAGGACTTTATCAAGTGGCTCCTTATTTAAGGGACACTGAGTAACTTAATGAACAGTGTTTTCTACAGTGGTTTTGGAAAGGCACCAAGTATTGAAGTGGTTATTGCCTATGGATCCTTTATAAAATTGAAGGCACAGTACTAAAATCATGACAATGAAGGCCTTGCCTTCCCCGTGCGGCGGCCCCCCCACCCCCCGAATAGCTTTAATGAGGTCTAGCTGAGAGAGCAAGGGAGAGGGATAGAGTTAGAAACATCAGTGAGAGGGAAACATCATCCATAGGCTGCCTCATCCACACCCCCTACTGGGGATAGAGCTTGAAACCCAGTGCCCTTACTGGGAATTAAACCAGTGATCTCTTGGTTCATGGGTTAACACTCAACCACTGAGCCATACCGGCTGGGCTAGCTGCATAGCTTTCTGAATGCAATTTTTGCATAGGGATGGAGGTTAGAGAATTTAGAACACTTTTTTAAAAAACCCTTTTATTGAATTATGATATTTATTGGAGGCCCAGTGCACAAAATTTGTGAGCATGTATGGTCCCTAGGCCTGGCCTGTGATCAGGGCCATCTTCCCCCTTCCCAAAGGGGGCAGCCGGCCCCCTTTGCCCCCCCCTCGCCACACACTCCTTGGTTCCCCATTCACCATCAGGTGATCAGAGCCTGCCAGGCGGGGGCGGGGGGGGGGGTGGGAGGAGGGAAGACCATGTGGTTGGCCATTCCTGCCAAGTCACTGGCCCTGCCCCTACCGCAGGTTGCCCTCTGTGTCTGGGGCAACCCACGAGGCCTCGGCCTCGGCCTGGCACCACCAGTATCCCCCACCACCGACCCCTGGGTCCCCATTCATCATCGGGTGATTGGAGCCTGCCGACTGGCCTGGAAAAGGGACCAAGAGGTAGTCAGTGCACCTCATAGTGACTGGTGGAGCGGTGGTCTGGCCGTTCCACCATTAGGGTCAATTTGCATATTATCCTTTTATTATATAGGGTTAGACAGTTTTTAAACTGGGTGCTTATACCCAGTTTCAAAATGCTTGTTAAAGCTCTTGTAGGTTTCAGGTGATTTCACAAACCACTTTGTAGATAACATTGTTATATCAGATAGTAAGGGAGTCTCATATGCCCACAGCAGACTTGCCTGATTTGGTCTGCACTTGATCTTGAGATGTGTCTCAGAATTTTTCTCAGTGAGTGCTATTCAGTTAATCACGAATAATAAGTCAGAGTTGATATTGAAAATGAAACCTCAGTGCCATTGGCTGGACCAGATATTTCAAAGGAGGATGAAGTGAAGTTTCATTGAGACATAAAATACAGAGTGTCAGAAGATTAAATTTCTATTATTATTATCAGAAATTTGTGCAGTTATTGTTTTGTATTCCTCTCACAAAAGCCACACTGGATACAGTTGTACCCGGGTCTGTATTCATGACTCACTCTGATATCTGGGACCATTTATATTCTAATATTTTTCTTCAAAGGACAGATTTGATTTAAGAGAAGGCTTATCAGCACTTCTTTGCAGTGATGCATATCTGTCAAAGCTCCCTCTATAATCATTTGGAGTATGTACCATTTGCACTTTGAAACTGCACTGCCATCTATTCAAGGATGAAATTAGCAGAGGTGATCAGATTTACTAATATTTGCCCCAGGGTGTGAGTGCTATTTCTCCCTGACTTACCAATAGATCAATGATCTGTCATTTACCATGGTCTGATTGCAATACCGGTAGTTGAGTTTGGTATCAGCTTTCCTCTAGATTTCCTCACAGGGACGCTTTAGCAGAACCTTTGCTAGTGAGGCCACTTGGGAGTCCCACTTTTTTTTCAAAATGAACCAGGATATGTGTAGACTAGAAAACGTTCTAAAAGCTGTCACACAGGGCTGACTATGTACACTGATGTAATGCACACAGATTTGGGAGCTGGGGTAACCAGGAGTGAGCTACTTCTTTCATCAAGGCTGTTTTGAAGATGTTTTTGATTCAGGGAGTTAGGAAGAAGTGCTGTGATGGAGGGGGATAATTAATCCTCCATAGCAAAGGCATGTTAGTAGCCTTTTTAAGGAACTTATCTTTATTGGGTCTTGTGTGAGAGTCTTAAAACCAGAGAAAGTTGTTCTGTTCTTTAAACCACACTGGGTCTATGCATCTTTCTGAGCTAATGTTTTCTTTGATCAGTTAGTGCTAGAATGTTATAATGTATCTCCAATCTCCTCCCATTCCAAATCATACATTTTTTACATTTAAACTTCTTTGAAATCAGGAGCTGTTTTATAGTTGATGGCTACATTGAATATATTGTAATACCCTTCACTGCTTCCAAACTTGTAGTAAGTTGGAGATCTATTATTCTAAGAGTATCCACTGATTTAAGAAAACATGGCATATACTAGTATGTTAGAGGTTGCAAATTTCTTATGATGGAGATAAGGTGCTAATACTCTTTATGTAGCTCCTTCATGCTTGTTGAATTTGCATTAGAACATTTAGTGAACAAAACATGGCAGCTTCCAATGATATTAGCCATAGTGTTGTCCATAGGATCCATGGAAGGTATCATCTGGTTCATACATAGATCCACTAATTCACACTAGTTTACAAGAAAACTTACTGGAGCTATGTGGTATTTAAAAATTTTTAAACATATGTATAAACTCAGGTGACATGTTTCTGTGCCTACAGAATCTTGTGGAAGAAGAATGAAGTTGCTGATTATGAAGCTACAACATTTTCCATCTTCTATAACAACACCCTGTTCCTGGTCTTGGTCATTGTTGCGTCCTTCTTTATATTGAAGAACTTCAACCCCACCGTGTATCCTTTTAAAGGTTGATTATGTTTTTCAGAAGTCTAGAAATAGTTTGTTTTGGTTTCATATAGGGTTTATTAATAGCACTGTGACCTTAGGCACGTTTCTGAATATTTAAAATAAGGGCTTTTGGTTTGTTGTAAAATTCTTTCAAGTTTATAAATTAGGGCTTCATGGCAAGTAACTATAAATAGTCTCACATAGCCCTCATCAGTGGATAGAGCATTGACCTGCGAACTGAAAGGTCCCAGGTTCGATTCCGGTGAAGGACACGTGCCCAGGTTGTGGGCTCGATCCCCCGTGGCGGACTTGCAGGAGGCAGCCAATCCATGATTCTCTCTCATCATGGTGGTTTCTTCCTCTCTGGAATCAATTAAAATACATATTTTTTTAAAAGAATACTTTAAAAAAATAGTCTCACATATATGATTATGTACTAGTATACCCACCTATTTAAAAAGAGTTCCAAGGAGGAAAAGCAAACTTGCTCTCTTTGATCGCTCTTGATGTAAGCCACGTGTCTTCTGATATTTTGGGCTTTGGGATTGGGTGGATAGCCAGTTTAAATAGGTACATTTCATCATATTTTAACAGTGTTTCAAGCTGCTCTTAAATTGAGCTTTTGGGCAAGAGTCAACCTGCATTTATGAAAGGTGCTAAGGTAATTTATTAAAGCTGTTATCCAGGAATGTACAACCAAATTTTTAACAGTTGGAGATTTTGACATAATAAAATGTGACACCCTTCAACTTGTATCTTCCGGAGGTACAGACCGGTCCTGAGGCCAAGAGTAGCTGCAGAAGTTCAGAACCTCCTTCCTTTTATAGGCCCACTGTGGCTGATAGGCTGACGGAGAGGGGAGAAAGAACAAGAAGTCTCTTCCTCCCTGTAGTTGATCAGCTCTTCTGAAGGTTAAATGGGATTTGAGTGTTTCCTTTGTGGTCACGTATTCTAGGTTTCTGTCTCAAGGGTTTTAAAATCTCCTGTGAATATTCTTTATAGTCTTGTAAATTGTGTTTACAGACAATGGGACCACATAGCATTGTCATTAGCCAGAGTGTCAGGAGGGAAGCAGTATATTCCAAAGAGATGGGCTTGTTTTGTTTTGTTGAAAATTAATTTTGGGTACTTAATTTTTCCTTAACATTAAATTCTTACAGGAACTATATTCTGTCCATAAGTGCTTCATCTGGTCTCATCGCCCTCCTGTCTACTGGCTCCAAATAGACCGTGTCAGCTTCCCCCGTGGCTTTGTATCTATGGGTGGTCTGTGGTGTATGGAAAAGTTGCTGGGTGGTCGGGGTGGGAGACAGAAGATGTTTTTATAGTCTGGAGCTTGAGGGTTTGAAAGACCCAACAAAATGTAATTCAATATTTGTTTATTGGCTCTTTTTTGACAAACTGTTGAAATTACATGAATTGAAAGGGAAACTCAGAGTACCAGGACATTTATTAAAAAGGCAAATGTGTCTGGTAATGTGCTATAATCACAAGAGGAGAAAATAACCTGCTTCCTTGATCTGTCAGGGGTCACAGTAACCTGGACTGAACTGTTAGTATTTGTTTTAGTAGCAAGAAGTTAATAGCTGGTTCTGTGTGTTCCAAGCACAATATTACAGCTTTTTGGGAACCATAAATATCAGAGTGAATCCTCTTTCCTCCCCTTCCCCCTGCCTGGGGGGTGGGATTGAATTGCATGTTTACAAATCTCTGAATATGTGATTTGAAATAGTAACTCAATTAAAGTTGAAAACATGGTTTCTCCAATTTGGGGAAAAGAAACTTGTGGAAAAGTTCTTTCTTTTCATCCTTTAAAAAAAAAAAAAAAAGAAAGAAAGAAAAAGAAAAAGGCATCCAAGGTAATAACCTAATAGTGCCTGGGAGGGAAGGAGGGAGGAGAGAGATGGATGAGGGATGGGAGGGATACATGGTGATGGGAAAATATAAAGAAAAAAATAAAAATAGTGCTCAGGCTTTAGAGCACATGTGTCAAACACAAGGCCCACGGGCCAAATCCGTCCCGCCAGGCCTTGCAGTGTGGCCCGCACCGCGCTGTCATCACTGCACTCTGCTGCGTTTCCATCACAATGACAGTTTATGACTGTTCAGTAAACCATTCGGCCCGTGATTTAGGCTGGATTTTAGATTTTGGCCCCTTCTCTGATTGAGTTCGACACCCCTACTTTAGAGAGTTGTCCTGTGGGGTTAAGCACACTGCTCAGCTGTACAGCTTGGCCCTGGGCAGCCGCAGATGCTAATTTGACCCTCCTGACTTGCTGAGAGACTAGCATCATTGTTTTCTTAGAGCGGGGTCTCTGCCACTGGAGGAGTATTGAGTGAGAGAGAACCTCTCCTGAAAATGGACATAAAAGACCAAAGTAATTCTTGTGATCTTAGCTCCAGAATTGTAAGAGCATTCTAAGGAATTAAAGTGATGTTCGTGCTTGTCAGCATTTTCCTATTTTTTACATTAATAAATTTGACATTTAAACCACATGTTCCCATTGATTGGGAATAAAATATTGCTCTCTTCAGCCCTTGGCGGTCCAGTGGAGAGCAATCTCTTGCTTTTTTATTTTTTATTTTTATTAAGGTATTATATGTGTACATATTTTACCATTGTCCCCCCCCAACCCACTCCCATACATGCCCTCACCCCCCCCAGCATTTTATGTCCATTGGTTATGCTTATATTATTATAATATCTCTTGTATTTTTTTAACCAGTGTGTGTACAGATAGTATAATTTTATATGTGTTCTGTGATTTGAAAAAGTTTGGGAAGCTCTGGAACCTGTATCGCTGAAAGGTGGTGAAATCCCAGGAGATAGTGGTTTCATATTCCTATTAGCTTTGACCACATTCAGTAATTTCTTATCATAGTATCTCAAAGGAAATACATTCCTAATTCCTAATCCTAACTTTATCCTTTAGTTTTCACTTGTAAATTAAGATGAATGTTGCAAATAGTACTTGCTGTTTTATTTGTAACTGTATAGAAGGGTATTTATTGGGAGTTCATTTTTCATTTCCATGCTGTTAGTGTCTCAGTAGGCCACATCCAAGCACTTGGAAGGAACACAGGGAGGAGTACACTTGAACAGAGACCCAGACCATCATTACCTTCAGTTGAGGATTATAGTTCATCATTGCTTCTGGAAGTTTGCAGTTCTTTTCTTTGATGTGTTACTCATGTGTCATCACTGGATAGTACATAGTGAATGGGGATGCCAGAAGAGATTCACTTCCAGTGGTTAGTTTTATTTTGATGTTTTAAGCTGGTTTGTTTTTTTATAAACAACCAGTAAGTATTTTGACAAGTGGCATGGAGTTTATGTATCAAATGCATTTACTTGACAAAACGTCTCTTTGACAAACTATCAGCATCTATTTGTTACCAGAGCTGGGCCAAATTGTAAATCTTTTTAAATTGCAGGTAAAAAAATGCCACTAGATGGCAGTGCCTGTATTGATGGGGGAAGAATTGCCGCTATTGGAATAAGGCAATCTATTATAGTTAAAATGGGGTGGTGAAATAGAAGCATCAGCTTAATATTCTTTTAAGAGTTGCTCTTGAATTAACAATCAAAATAGTTTGTAGAAATGTAAGTAAGCAAAATTTGATTTTTGTTCGGACTTTTTCCTACGGCACCGTATTTTTCATCCTGATGATTTCAAACTTCCTTATATTAGATAAATTTTTGTGCACGAGTTTATAGACATACTTACAATTCCACAGTTTTATGCAGGTTATCATTACTCTGCTCTTGCAAATTCCCCAGTCCTGTCCCCATCGTCTGAAATGGCTATATGACACACAGAATTACAATGAGCTAATAAATCTGGGTTAGTTAGTAAAAACTTGCTGTACAATTTTTATCTCAAAAGACCCTCAGAGCTAGTAAAATAAAGGGTTTTGTTGTAATTGGGATATAAAGTGATTAAGTCCCTTTTTTCACACCCCTTGTGATAATTAGAGGCTTAAACTGTTGGGACATTTGGCATTTCCCTATTTTTAGTTTCTTCATTTACAACTTAATAAAAACCTTGACTTGAAATTATTCTTAGACAGTAAAAATATACTGGTGGTTCCATTTGATAAATTATTCTAATTTAGAAAGAATAATTTGAAATAAGTTTTAAAGTTAACTGAAATATGGAGGTTGGATTCATATCTAAAATTCTTGTAAAAGGCCTTGCTAATTAAGGGTCATTAAGCTTTGCTTTTTAAAATTTATATTTTCCCTAGACACTTAAAAGAACCATGTGGCTGAGCTCATCATCTTTAGTACAATGTCTTACATTACTCATCATTTAAATTTCCTAAACTTGTCAATGCACTTTATAGTCACTGTTCAGATATGTGTGTGGCAGTGACTGGCACAGTGCAGTTCTGTTACAGAGAGAATGCCAGGCCTCTCTGCCAGCATGTGCCTGCTGTGCTATCCTGCCCACCTTGTTTCTGTGTTTTCAGTATTTGTGCCAGTTATGCTGTTTCAGGAGACACAATGGAAGGATATACATAGGCATGTACATATATTAAGAGAACCAATTTATTAATACATGTTCTGGGCTGGAAGGGATTATCTTTTGCCTGCTTGGATTCCCAAGCAGGGACATTGAAGATTAGGAGTGCTGTTTAAGTGGTTGGTTTAAATTTTCATGGAGGTGGATAAACACTAATTATTGGCCTTCATGAGTTTTAATTGTATCGCTTCTTTGACCTTTCTCCATCTTAACTGAATTTGGATTCATACCCAAGTTTTGTTTTGTTTTTACCTTAAAAATTCACACACACTTTTTTTTTTTTTTTTTTTTTTTTTTTTTTTTTACAAAGCTTTAAAGCCAAAAAAGAAAATTGTACCTAAAACAACACTGAACAAAATAACTTGCCTGGTTCTGCCATCAACCAGCAGTGTGAGTTTGGGCAAACCCTTCTATCTTTCCAGGCTTGGTTTCCTCATTTGCCCAGGAGGGATGGTCTTGAAGATGGCCTGCTGTCTACTTAATGATAATTCTGCTGTCTTCTGCACACCCTTGGCATGCTTAATGACGATGAAGTGACAGTTCGTAAAGTGAGAAGTTAGGCACAGGGTTTCTAGTTTTCATTTCCCTTGGCTGAGATTTTAGTATGGCTGCTACCCAGGTTACTCTTAGGAATGGTATGTTCTCTCCCAAGGAATTCTTTCCAAAATAGAAAATACAATGAGAATGCATGGAAATTTTTCTTAAGGATACAATTATGAAATAAATTTCTTATCTAGTATATTTACCATAGCAGATGGCTTGCATATAAAAAAAAGTTAGCTGTCCCCACAGGCAATAATGTTTATATTTGTTGTTGGGTTTTTGTTTTTTGTTTTTTTATATATATTTTATTGATTTTTTACAGAGAGGAAGAGAGAGGGATAGAGAGTCAGAAACATCGATGATAGAGAAACATCAATCAGCTGCCTCCTGCACACCCCCTACCGGGGATGCGCCCGCAACCAAGGCACATGCCCTTGACTGGAATCGAACCCGGAACCTTTCAGTCCGCAGGCCGACGCTCTATCCTCTGAGCCAAATCGGTTTCGGCTGTTGTTGGGTTTTTTAATTCATCTTTATTGTTGAAAGTATTACAGATATCCCCCTTTTTTCCCATGGACTTCCTTTACCCCATATCTGCACCCCCCCTCTGGCCTTCACCACATTGTTGTCTGTGTCCATGGGTTATGCATATATGCCTATGAGTTCCCTGGTTAATACCTTCCTCACCCTGTCCCCAGCCCCACCTTCCCTTTTGAGATTTGACAGTCTGTCCGTGCTTCTGTGTCTCTGGATCTGTTTTGTTCAATTTATTTTGTTCATTAGATTCTATGTATAAGTGAGATCATGTGATACTTGTCTTTCTCTGACAGGCTTATTTTGCTTAATTTGCAGGCTCTTTTAAATGAGTTTGAGAAGCTATAACCTTTAGTGTGGAGTATTTCTGAAACCAACTGAGAAATGATACCTTTAGTAACTAATCATTTGCTCCATTAATAAGAAAAGTATGAATTGCAGTTCAAATCGTAATCACTGCTGTTTCTGTTAGGTATCACTCAATGCAGCTTACCTGCCAACATCATTTTTATTAAATGAATCTTAATGCCTGTTTTTTTTGAGCGATCTATCTATATCCATCCTTATAGTTAAAGAAAGTTCAGATAAAAACTAATTGTGAGATTAAATGCACAAAATGCTTTTATTACTTTATGCAAATTAAGTTGAATTTTGGTTTGAATTAGACAACTTCAGCACATTTATACATACAGTAAGTATTCACTGGATTGATTGAATGTACAATGAACAATAAAAAGGATCCATTTCCATTTTTGATATTCTGAGGCAAAAACCCAAACTATTTCCTTAATTGAATACAGGTAGGAGTAATCAAAAAGGAAATTTCTTGGTATTTCACATTAACATCTTGAGATTTAGAACTTAACCATGAAATTACCTGGAAATGATGGCAGAAAATAGCATTTGAAGCTGGTAATATATTTGTCCTGTAAGTCTCAATGATTTCTAGTATATATTGGGACCAGCTGGCCAGAAAACTAAATTAGAATTTTGTGCATGCTCAAGTGTTCAAATAGAGTTATAGGACCATCACCCCCAACACACACCCCAAAAAAGGGGGAGGGGGGGAAATGTCTTTCTTACAGGTACACACAATATATTCTCAAAATTGTTCTCAAGTGGAGTACTCATGAGGGTAGGTAGCCAATAGTGGCAGGACTAGATAGGCCTCAGCTTCCGGGTACATTAAAGCAAGGCCCCTTTAACTCATGCAGTGAGCTTTCATGCATATGGTTGAGTGCACATTACGTGATTATAGATTCAGGAAATTCTTTAACATTTGTTTTTCATTGGGCAAGTTAATTCACCCAGCATATGCTGAGTAGTAACATTTTTCACAAAGTCCATGATTTACTTTGATGTTACTAACTCCTCAAAAACACAAGCTTTCTATTGTAAAATCCCAGTGCTAATTAAACAGCAAACATTTGCCTTTATGGATATTTTACAGGTTTACTTACAAAAATCAAGCATGTGTATATTTATTTTTAAAGCTTAAATATTTAAACTTGCAGAAGTTGTGCCTACAAGCAGTCAAAAATATAAAGCAGGTTTTCATAAAATGTAGTAAAAAATGAACACTTTGTAAAATGTAATGCAGGTGCATTACATTTTATCCAAAGCTAAGCTTCCATAATGGCTAAGCTTCCATAATGGTGTAATAGTGTAATCCTCACTTGCATACATTTACCATAAGGTCTCTAATTAGAGACTGGGTATTGATCCTTTTACTATCTTTACGTGTAAATGAGTAGAGCATTATTAGAATTCTAAGACACTTTGGATAAATTGCTACACAGGGTCATTTTGGGGGCCAAGCGACACTGAATATTTAAAAGGTAACAAAAGCAAATACCTAGGAATTTTATTTTGTTGAAAATGATAAGGGAAGCAGCTTACTAACAACTGGAATGTGAAAATAGGAAAACAAATGTAAAATTGCTTTTGCTTATTTTCCCAAGCAGGACTTCAGAATTAACATAGCCTCTTCTTTCTCACACAATCCTCATTGTATCTGGATTTTGTTCATTTGAAAAAACAGATCTATCTGTGTAGCCTTCTTTAAGTTATATGCCTGAAGGTAATTCTCCTTTCCCTGCCATATGCTTTCCATTGCATTAGCATGAAGTGTACAGAGCAATGCAAGAATAGGTGACTCCAGTCCACGATAAGAAAATAGAATGGATTTTCTTAGTTGTGAGTTTTCAGATGTGCTCATAATTCAGGTGCACAGTGGTGGCGACAGCAGACACCTCAGAATCCGGGGACACTAGAGGTTGAGCAGCGGCTGCTAAGTGATTTAAAAGACTGGCTAGGAACACCTTTCTGTACCGGTATAGACCGATATTTGAACCATGCAGCTCCGGTGGCTCATGCATTCGTTGCCTTATGATCTGTAGTCCTTTTTGCTGTAGGGCTTGTTGCGTAATATGTTATCAATCTCATTTACCACATGTGATGTCATCTTTGGGAGAACCTGAGAGCATAAGTACAAAGGATGTAGTTAGTACTTGAAATTTTTCCTTTGTGCTCACTATTAGGCAGAGTTGTCTAGGCTGGTGTACGTTTCAGAACCACCACTGGAAAGTCTTCACCAGACCCTAAGCTCCTTGAGGTCAGGGACCTTGGTTTGTTCACTGTATCTCCAGTGTCCCTAAGAGTGCTTGGCCCATAGTTAGTGCTCACAATTATCAGTTGGCTGGATAAATGATATAAATGAAGGCTAACAGAAATGTATAATTCCAACAGTAGTTCTGCCCAGTAGAAATATAATGCGAGTCACATAACGTGACTTTAGATTTTCCAGTGGCCACATTAATAAAAGTGAAAAGAAACGTGAAATCAATACCCGATTTTACTCCATTATAGCCAAAACATCGTTTCAGTATGTAGCCAGTAGAGAAAATTCTTAAGACACGTTGCATATTTTTAAAGTACTACGTTTTTCTAATCTGCATTTTATGCTTACTCCGAGTTTGGACTAGTCACCTTGCATACACCAAAGAAGGACATGTGGCTAGAGGCTACGGCACCGGGCCGCACAGTTTAGACACTAGGAGGATTCTTTACCACTGGTGGTCCGCACCCTGGTGAAGGATGGCCAGGGGTTAGCAGGCATCCTCAGTGGATGGCATAGCATGAAAAAGTGAAAAGTCTGAGGAATGGAGTGATACAAGTGCGAGTGGTGGAGGTATGGGGGTGGTAGGAACAGGAGAAACAGACATTGGGGTAAAGGGGGCAGAAGGTCTTGCATATCTTTTTTGGGGGAGGTGAGGGGGACTTTATTCAGTAGACATTGAGGAACCTCTCAGGACCTGTTAGCTGGGAGTGAACCTAATAGACACCTAGTGGTGGTTTGAAGGATGAGTTGGAGAAGATTGAAAGGACATAGATGTTAGAAAGTTATTGTCCTGTGCAGTGACACAGCCTTAACTCAGACGGGCAGTAGAGGAGAAAAGGAGTGTGGATCTGGGGCATTTTGGAGGATGGTGGTGGTTTCCAGACTCATGACTAGAAACATATGATGTGAATTACCGAGATTGGCGTTCCCTGGAGGAGACGTTTGGAGTAGGATGTGTTGAGTTCAGGGTGTCTGTGGGAGACCCATGTGGAAATGATTTGCAGGCAGTGGAAGGGCAGCAGTGGAGCTTGCTTGCAGGTAGAGGGACCAGAGTTGAGGATTTGTGAGCATCTCCATGGATATGCTAATTAAAGCCCGGAAAAGGGTGATGTCATCCCGGGCCCTCATTCATTGTGAGAAGTGGGCCAAGGACACACATTCCTCCACAAGTCCAGGGACAAAGGCAGACTTTCACAGGAATAGCCTGACCCTGTGTGGAGGCTGATGAAATACAACTGTGGCAGCCAGTTCTGAGGGTTCTGCCTCGCCCTTCCTCGGCTGCAAGCCTATTGGCCAGGGTGACCTTGTCTTCACTCAGAAGCTTCCTCAGGTCCCAAAGGGTCTGGCAGAAGAGCAGAGCTACTCAACCTGGAAAACTGGTTCTCATTAATGTTTTTCTCAAGCTAAAGGAAGAGTTTGACTTCCTACCAGTTCCGGCATCTCTAAACTAATGTGTTTTTTAAAGTGAGATTGCAAATCTAGCCGAAACAGGTTTGGCTCAGTGGATAGAGCGTTGGCCTGCGGACTGAAAGGTCCCAGGTTCGATTCCAGTCAAGGACATGTACCTTGGTTGCGGGCACATCCACAGTGGGGGGTGTGCAGGAGGCAGCTGATGGATGATTCTCTCATCAATGTTTCTGACTCTCCCTCTCTCTTCCTCTCTGTAAAAAAAAAAAAATCAATTATATATATATATATATATATATATATATATATATATATATATATATATATATTTTAATCTAGAAGCTGTGTTTGTCGGAAGTTTTATGCTAAAATAATAGTGGGCTAGCCATGTGAGGAAAAAAATGCTTCATTACGCCAAGATAAATTTCAGATAAGAGATTTAAAACCCCCAAACCATAAAAGTACTTGAATAAAACATAAAAAATATATATATATGTTGTGTTGCAAGGTCTAAATTTTCAAGAGGAACCATACATCCAGAGTTTTATGTGAAACTGCCCAGTTTTTTAAAAATGTTGACAGCTATTTTAAAACATTTCCACCTACAATTACACAAGCATCCCACAGCTTGCCTGCCAATTTTGCAACCTTGGTGTTAGACTGCCTGGGATAACTGGTGGGTGAGGGGCGGTCTGGTTAGTGTTGCCGGGCGATTTGGGCTGGTGGGTGGTGGACACTGGCAGGCAGAGGACCAGTGTTCCTTTAGTGGCTCACGGTGGCTGGAGATTTGGATTCTGGGGAAGATGAGCCCTGGATGGGAAGGGCCACTGCGGAGCCTGAACTGCTCAGATTGGGTGACAGGGGCCTCGAGGGCTTTAAGGCTGGTGCAGTGGAAGGGGAGAGGCAACTCCACTTTTCAGGTAGAATTGGGGGGGAGGGAGGCCTGTGCAGAAGATGGTGGCCGCCTGCAGCTGTGGTTTCTCCTCTCCAGTCTCCCATCTCTTGAGGCTCTGGTATATTGTAGATGTGCCCTCTAGTGTATGCACATTTAACAATACGTACATATCCCTTGGAGCAGCTGCCTTGCCGGGCCCACTAGAAATTTCCTTGCCTTCCAACTGCTTGCACTGCAGCTTTCTGTCTGGCACCCACTCCCCTCCACGGCTGAGAACCCTCAGCCACCTAGCTCACTTCCCACTCCACGGAAGGGTCCAATCACAGCTCGCCTGGGGCAAATTCTTAGCTGCTGGGCTGGCGGGAGTAGAAAGGGGGGATGGTGGACCTGAGGGGGCAGCCTCTTTGCTTGGGTAGCCTCCCTTTTCTCTTACCCTTGGAGCATGGGTGATCCATCTTGCTACCAGCCAGAACCTTGCTGGGGAGGAGGTGCTTTGGGAAGATGACAGACTGTTTTCCTCTGAAATGCACCCTCAGCTACCTGGAGTATTCCGGCAGCCCAGGCTTGGCGTCTCTACCATCCCAGGCATGCTTGACTCCTCGTGGTGGCAGCATTTACAATGTGGTAGCATTACAGGAATCCTCAGACCCTCTCTCTTCTTGCCAGGCTGTCAGCAAGTCCTGTCTCTATTTCCAAATCCTATAGAATCTACCCACTTTACCTCCATGGCCACCATCCTAGCTAATCCAGGCCACATCACTGGGACAACTGCCCTTTCCCACACAGCCGCAGGGTAGTCTAATTTAGACATTCAAATATCAGCATGTTCCCTCCTCTTAAAACCCCCAACTGACCCATTCCATGTAGAATAAAACTCCGTGTCCTGTGATCGGACCTCTGCCTGACTCGCCACGTCAGTGCTCCCTCTATCTTGCTCACTGCACGTTGGCCACACGGCCTAGGCTGGCAGTTCCTCGGGACCTTTACACTTCTCCTCCCTGTGTGTGGAGGTTCCTCCCTGAGTCTGGAGGCTCTTCCCTGTGTCTGGAATGTTCCTTGTGTCTGTCTGGAATGCTCCTCCCTGTCTGGAATGCTCCTTCCTGGGCTTTCCCATGCTGTGTCTCCATCTCCCAGGCTTCAGAACGCACGGAAACCAGAGGGCCTTGGCAAGGACAGTGGTTAAAGTGGGTGCACCCATTTCTCACGTAGTCTCTATTACAACACCCTCCTCACTCACTAGTCCTCCTCACAGTTGCAATTATGCTCTTGTTATGTGCCTCTCCCACTAGAGTGTAATATCCCCGAAAGCTGGGCAGTGTCAGTGCCTGCCTGGCCTCGCAGGCTCCCAGAGGTCTGCTGAGTGATCCAGAGAGAGGTTGCCTTGTTCACGCTCAGCCAGCCCCTGGGCCCAGAAGGACAGAGTTCTGTTCTTTGCCCAGGACTCTGCCGGGCGTGGTGCTCACTGCCTATTAGTGGAATAGAAGTCACTGGACGGAGTTCCAGTTCTCTCTGTGTACAGACTGTTCCCTATTTCCTTATGGCTGTGTAGCCTTTATCTCCCCACTCCCCCCAGCTGGGGGGCTTTCACAAGAGGAAGGCTTCCCATGCAATGAAGGAGAACCCCCAGAATCCGGGAGGAATTGTGGGGCTCAGAGGGTTCTGGGAAGCAGAGGCGGATGATGACAAGGCTGCACACTCCTAAGAAAGGTGCCGGTGGGGAAGTCCACACCCTTTATCCCCAGCGTATTCTGGGCTTTTTGAAAGGTGGTTTTTGTTTTTGTTTTTGTTTTTTTTGTTTTTTTTGTTTTTAATTATTGATTTCAGAGAGGCAGGGATAGATAGAAACATCAATGATGAGAGAGAATCATTGATTGGCTGCCTCCTGCACACCCCCTATTGGGGATCGAGCCCACAACCCGGGCATGTGCCCTTGGCTGGAATCAAACCTGGGACCCTGAGCCAAACTGGCTAGGGCTTTTTTTTTTTTTTTTTTTTTTTTTTTTTAATTAAGTTTAATCAGATTGGTCCTCACCTTCACCTGTTTCTTTTGGGAGAGGTAATGGGGCGATAAGTGCTTGCTTCAGGGACTGGTGGATGGGGAAGAAGCTGTGATAGTTCTGTTCCCCAGTGAGCAAGAGGAAGACACCTGTTTGGCAGGTGGTGGCCATGGCAAGTCATGGGCAGGCTCCTTCCTGGGGCCTCAGCAGGGCTGAGAGGGGAGGAGGCCACGGCCTGAGATGTGCCCTTAGTGGGAGGAGGATGGTCCCACCAGCCACTAAGCCCCACCCCTCTCCTCAGAGAGTATTCCCAGGAACACCTCTGCCACCCCCCTCCTACTGCCCCAGCAGGCTCCCCAGAGTACACTGCAGGCTCCATCCAGTGCCTGGGGCCTTAGGCAATCCACCCAGGAGGGAGGGGGGATGGGCACCCCTGAATTTGCTGCCAGGGAGGTGTGATCCTGGAAGTCCAGACTAGAATGCTGATCCTGATTCACCACATTTGCTCAACAGGTGTTTGTTGAGTGTTACTAGGAACCGGAAATCCATGAGAAGCAAGAAAGACGGAGACAGGTCCCTGACCTCAGGAGTTTACAGTCCAGTAGGGAGGACCAGCAATTACACTATGTCATCACAGGTGCTGAGATGGGAGCGGGAATACAGACGCTGCGAGGGCTTGGCACACTAGGTTGGCAGTAAATGTGCAGGAAGGACAAACGGGACATGTCCTGGGGCTACTACATTTCAAGCAGGTTATTAGGCTGTGTTTATGGCCAGGCTTGGGAACCCAGGTGTCACATGGCTTAGATCTTGGAATGCCTTGTCTCACAGAAACCAGCCATCGTGAGAAATCAGATCTGAGAACAGTGCCTGCTAACAGAAGAGGACACTCCTGGATTCATGTCTATAACAGTTCTCTTACCTCTTGTACCTTTGTGTGTGTCATCCTTCCCCCCCCCCCTGACACCCCCCCCCATCCATGCCTCCCTCCCCAATCTAGGAATAAGTAGCCTGTTAAGGACTTCCATGCAACTGGAATCAGTGGCATGAAGGACAGAGCTGGGAGAGAGGGGACACGGCCTGGGGACATCATCACTGACACCACGAGACCCCCGGAGTGGTTTGTGGGAAAGGGCTGTGGCACTTGCCTGAATGGCACCGAGGTTCTCGATGAGCTGTTCGGGAGTGGAGGACCCCAGGAGCACGGAGCTCACACCCTCGTTCCGCAGGCACCAGGCTGGGAGGAGAGAACACGGTCAGGACATCAAAGCCCTTCTGATGACCTTGAACAGCCCCCCTGCAGCCACCATTGCTGCACCAAAACGGACTGACTTTTGTGGGGAGGATAGCCAGTGTACTTGCTTCAGGATTACAATCGTCAGCAGCACCCAGGCCGTGGAGAGGATTTGGTACATGAGCTTTGCCCTGACGACTGGGGCACCCAATCCAGCTACTCACCCAGCTACGCGCGCACTCTTGTTCCTGAAAATACCTGGCTCTGCTCCCTGGCTGACATCTTGGTTCCTGTTTCCACAGTGGCCCACAGCCTCCTGCCTGTCCACCTTTTCAGGCTCTCTCTTCCCTCTGTGGCTGGAGTCCTTGTAGACTTTGAGTGTCTGGTTCCTTTATTTCCACCTACTATCAACCCTCTCTGCAACCTTTCTTCGTAACACCATGTTCATCCTGTGTTCCTTATCCCACCAACCCCCAAATCCCTCGCTCCTCTCCTTCCTCTGCCTCTAGATACTTCTACCTTTAAACCTTCTCAGCCCTGTCTGTCGCTCTCAGCAGATGACCTGGCCTCTGGCTTTATGGAAAACACTCAGTCCATCAGGTGGGATATTCCTGAATTCCCCACTCTCTCTTGGACACAGTACACATCCGCATCCTCCAGTTCAGAGGATGCCATGTGCTGTTTAATAACTCTGAAGCCAGACTCTGCCCTGGATCTGTCTCTTTTTGCCCTTTCTTGGACTTCATTCATTCTCATTCATTCATTCTCTCTCTCTCTTCCCCTCTCCCTCTCTCCCTCTCTCTTTCTCCTGGATTTCTTATTTCATACTATCTTCTTTTCTCTCACCAAAATGTGCTCAAATTTCTCCCATTCTAAAATAAGCTTCCTCCAACCCTTAATACTTGCCTAGCTACTGTCCCATCCTTCTCCCTTTAAATTTCTGAAAGGCAATATTATATATATATATATATATATATATATATATATATATATATATATATATATATATATGTATGTATGTATGTATATATGTGGAAGATAGAGGGAGAGAGAAAAACAGCAATGATGAGAGAACCCTGATAACAGAGACCATGTTATCTTTATTTTAAACTTTATTCGGGTGACTTCTGCACTCCAAAAATTTTACCTATTTTGTGTACAATTAAATCATTTTTGGTAAATGTATCAAGTGTGCAACCATCACCATTTGAGATGCCATTTTTAGAAGATCTCCATGACCCCAATAAACTCCTTCATGCCCATTTACAAAATTAATCCCATTCCTACAGCCAACCCTAGGAAACCACTAATCTCCTTTGCACCCTGCAGATTTATTGTTTCAGGACATTTCATGTAAACAGAATTTACGTAATGTGGGCTTGTGTCTGATTCTCTCACTTAGCAGGTTTGGGAGGTTCATCCGTGTCTCAGCATGCTCTCAGAGTATCATTCTTTTTTCTCACTGAACAGCAGCGCATTGTTTGGATGCAGAGACCACAGTGGAGGATCACTGCTCTGGTCCAGCTGTCTGCTGTCCTCAGGCCCTCACCATCTTCTGCAAGGGCCTTTTGCTCCTCTCGCTTGGATTGCCCCCTGTCTCCCACCTCCCCTTACCCACACCTCCATCCCTTCCCCGCTCATTTGGCACAGTTTCTCCAGCTACAGATCTGACCATGTCACTTGCCTGGCTAAACATTCTTGCCTGACGTGATCCTTGTCCTACACGATGAATTCTCACTTCTCACCTGGCAAACCTTGCTGTCTAGCCCAGCTCCAGTTCATGTCCTCTCATTTCCTGCCTTGAACTTTGTGCTTCAGGAGCACAGAGCCGTTTGTAAATCCTCTTCAGCCCCTTGGCTCCAACTGCTCCTTGGCCTGGAATTTCCCTTTGCCGCCTCCCTTCCTTTGCCTCATGAATATCTACTTACTCATCACTTGAGATTCCCCATGGGAACTACCTCCTCACAGAGTCCTTCCCTGAGTCCAAGGCTTGGTTGGGAGCCTCTAAGTTACTTAACCCCTTGGGCCCTTCCCAATTATTTTACAACACTGCATTACAGTGAGCTATTTACTTCCTGACTTGCCCATCAGCCTGTGAAATGTGTTTTATTTGTGGTTGGATGCTCAGCATTCAGCTGAGGACCTTCACATAGTAGGTGCTTCATAAATGTTTATTGAATAAACAGACATGAATGATTGATGGATGGAAGAAGGTCCAAGCACTTTTTCTGCCCCTTTTGCTCAAGGCCTGCTGTCAACTAATAATCTTAAACTGTTACCATGCTCAGGCCTTTTAAGGCAATCACTAAATCTTACCACATGGGCAAAATAATGTTCCATAAAGGCAACAAGTCAAATGATTCAGGGCTTTTTCTTTCTTTTCTTTTTTTCTTTCTTTTGGCAGTATTATTTCCTGCTTTGCACTTATAACTCTTTTTGAAAGGTCTGAGGGCAAAGCAGGGCCCAGGGAAAATCATTGCCCATAAACTATGTGGTGTCAGCAACAGCCAACTCTCCACTCCGAGAAGCAGGGTGCAGGGGAGCCCACTGGCCAGGTCTGCCTAGCAGCAGAGGTAACACATGCAGATGATGCGAATGATTTAGCGGCTAAGCAAATGCCCCCGAGCATGCAATCCCAGTGCCTCTTTACCAGCAAAAGCTGTGAGTGCAGCTCTTGTGCAGGCAAATTACTATTAATAGTTGACAGCGCCCACGGTTGGGTTCAAGTAGTTTGTTTCCTGCTCAAGGATTTCCCCTCCCCACACCCTTCTAGCAGATAAAAGGTAATATGCCTGCAAATAATTCCTCTCTTGGTTTGAGAGTTCTGTGGTTAAAAACAAAACTACTGCTTATAAAGAATGAAAAAACAAAACAAAACAAAAAGGACAGGCAAGATAGATAGCTAGGGGCACAGAGAGGGAGGAAAAGGAAAATCAAGGCATGTTTTAATTAAAATTTAGACTCTAGTGGATTTTTGGTGTGCATCTAACATCCAGCGAAAGCCTAAATCTTGTAAAAATCTCTTGAGAAAGACATTGTTCCATCTCTTTCAGAGCTAAATTCATTTTCACGTTATTATTACCTAAAAACCACATTTATGACTATTTCAAGGATGAGTGTTTCTCTTTGTGCCTGTTACTTTGCCCATAGGCCATGGCTAAGGGTAGACAGTTTCAGGTGCAGGGTGTCTAATTCTTTGCAAAAAAACCCCAACACAAACATCATCATCATCATCATCATCATCATCATCATCACTACCGTGTTTCCCTGAAAATAAGACATCCTCCGAAAATAAGACCTAGTGCAACTTTGGGATAAAAAATTAATATAAGACACTTTTACAATATTTTCGGGGAAACAGGGTACTACTACAAAGAGCACTTGCTCTTTGCTTTGCATATGTAATTATCCTTTACTCAAGTAGTTTGTAAGATATGTATTTTATGCCCATTTTACAGATGAGAAAATTGATAGCAGGTTAAATAACTTGCTGATGATCAAATAGCTAATACTTTTTACTATGTCCATTAAAGCTGCCCGGGTGCTAACTAATCCCATTTTTTTGTTGTAGTTTGAAAAGATTAAAGCAACAGTTACTTATACTTAGGTAAAGGGTGTTCTTCCCACCCACCTAGACCACCTTCCATTTTCATCTTTCTATGACTGTTAACTGCAACTGCCATTTTCCTGCCTTCCAACCTCACAAAGGTCAACCCTCTAACAAACATTCTATCACCTTATTTTATTTGCCTAGAATTCATCTGGAGCTTTTTAATCTCATCGGGTCATTGTATCTGATTTATCCCAATTCCTGCTATTTCTTAATCCTTTGGATTTTGTTTTTCTAGATTATATACCTATTTTATTATTTTCCCACAATGGTAGATAGGACAAGGGCCTCAAAGGTCTGGGCCATTTTTACTAAATGCTATTCTTGCAGGCCAGTTGTAAACAGGATGAGTTTGATAGGACCCCACCCCAAAAAAGTGTAGCCAACTGCAATCAATATGATTGACCAAATGGTGTATATAAGCAATGGCGAAGCCTCCCTTCGGGGAGACAGAGCTTTGGATATGAATCCTGTCTTCTTTACTTGCTGCAAGTAAATAAAACTATCTTGTGACAACATGTCTCATTCTTGAACCGAGCACCCCAAGTGGTGAACTCTTAGAATTTGGTAATAACAGCTATCACATGAATTCTTTTATCTTCAGTTTCTTCATTTGTAAAGTTGGAGATAATAGCAAATACTCCACTAACGTCTGTGAGATAGGGCTTGTAATGGCATGTACTTCATCAGATTGTTTGGACCATTAAGGGGACAAGACAGTGGCAGCAAGTGCTTATCACAGAGCCTGGCAAATATTCCCAGCAAGGGAGCTGGAAGTCTAAATGCTTTTCTGTCCAACAGCCAGCCACATGGGCCTGTTGAACACGTGAGATGTGGGTAGCCTGACTGAGAGGTCCTGTAGGTGTAAAATACACTTTGGATTTTTGAAGAGTTACTATGAAAAATGTGCAAAAGACCTCAGTAACTTTTATGTTTACTACATGTTAAAATGGTCATATGTTGTCTATATTGGGTTAAAGAAAATCTAGTAGTATAATTAATTTACTTGTTTCCATTTTCCTTTTGAATATGGCCACTAGAACATTGAAAATTTAAGTGTGTGGTTCATATTGAAATTCTATTGGACGTGGCTGGTGGGTGTGGTTTTCAGTTGTTACCAGTGACCATGACCTTTCACCCGCTTCACAGGTTAGAGCGGTTTTCCTGGACCCTCAGGAGGTTCAGGGGAAGCTGCTGCCCTAGGGTGAGCTTTCCATGTGGCCGTGGCCTTGGGCTCTGTGGCGGCCCTTTCTCAGCCTCTCAGCCCCCTCGCCTAAGCTTTGACAGGGATTGCAAAGTGAGCCAGAAGAAATGCATGTCCCTGTCCCGCTCAGAGGGCTCTCATCCCCGGCCCTGAGGATGTATACGTTTTCACCTGTTCTCACTTGAGCTGGGTTATAAGGGAGAGGAAAAGGGAGGAAGAACAGTTTTTTAGCACGTAGAAAATTCTGGGGTACTCTGAAAACCTCATTTTAGATAGTGCTAACCAGGAATGTATGCTCCTGACATCAGTCTGCCCTACAACAGATATTGTATCACCATAGGGATGTGGATCACACAGAGAAAATGATATTTTCTGGGCCCATAATTGTCTTACCGACAGCGAGCTGAGGGAGCGTGCAGCCCAGCCGCTCAGCGATTGGAGAGAGGTCCTTTAACTTGTTCTGCTGTTTTCTCCCTTCTTCACTCACAATTCTTTCTTTCAACCACTGGTAGCACTGGGAATAAAAAGAACATTTAAATGGCAATGTCCGGCAAGGGTTTGATGTCCAAGATTGCTAACTCAATGAAATATAAGAACCGCATCAGGAATTCATCTCCTTCACTCTGAACTTTATGTTTTGTGGTGACAGGATGCTTACCAGTTCTTGCAAAGAAATGTTCCTCATGGTCTCACTCCTTATTTATTGGTTTAAAACAGGTTCCTTAAAAAATATATGTTTTCATGGATTTCAGAGAAGAGGAAGGGAGTGGATAGAGAGACAGAAGCATCGATGAGAGGCAAACATCAATTGGCTGCCTCCTGCTGAAACCTGGACATGTGTCCAACTGGGGTTCAATTGGGGACCTCTTGGTTCATGAGTCATTGATCAACCACTGAGCCATACCGGCCGGCCAAAACAGGTTACTTTTGACTAAATCGCCACTGAAATCATCAACATGCACAAAAGTTGTTGAAATCTTGACCTAATCAATAACATCCTATTTGCATAGTGGGAGAAGTGATGTTTCTTATTGAGGTAGCCCAATTTTATAATGCAGCAAAAGGAAAAAAAAAAAAAAAGCATTTACATTTCACCAATGTCTATTATGCTTCCTTTTTGTCAAGAAAACTGGGCGCCAAGCGTTCTGGTCAGAGAAAGCCATTAGCTTACATTCTTCCTCTTGCCTTCTATTTACTCCCAATTTTGTGTTCTTATAATGGGGCTCTATTGTTGGCTTGCTCACTCCTTCCCAGAATAGACATGGTATAACTGACAGGAACCAAGCACATTTAGAAAATTGTCAATTGGATAAATATTTCCCAAATGTCTAGTACCTTTTCTGTAATGAAACTTAGGTAAGGAAACTCAAAATGAGAAACTGTTCTGTAAAACCTATGAGATATGACTGACTCTTATCTGTAGATTATAAAGCGAGCCTAATCTATATATATAAAAGGCTAATATGCAAAGTGTCCCCTCGGGAGTTCAACCGGGAGACCGAGAGTACGATCACTCGCTATGATGTGCGCTGACCACCAGGGGATGATGCAGAACGAAGGAAGGCCACAGCCAGAAGGCAGGCCCCGGCCAGCATCAAGAAGGCCCCAATCATCTCTGATCATCGGCCAGGCCTACGGCCCTACCTGTGCATAAATTTCATGCACTGGGCCTCTACTTCCTATATAAGGAGAAAAATCCCTCGGAACTTCTCAATGGCCTACTTCCCAGAGGTTTCTGCTTACTATGACATAGGGAACAATTGTAAGAGTCTGTTAAGTCTGTGTTAGTGAGAATAATAAAAACCATCCCACTGGGTGGCCATGTGGACTTTCTCCATCGCGTGTTATTTGTGACACAGTTGCCACCACAGACGGTTGCCTTCCCAAAGGCGGCAGCAGGAAGCTCTGCAATTGTCACAGACACTCCACTCACATGATTTCCACGGGCAGCTGGTGTTTGTTTTTTAAGTTTTTTTTTTTTTTTAATTATTATTCTAAGACAGTATTTCCAAAAAGAATAACCACATTATGCTTCTAGAATGAAAGTTAGGACTTTGGGGAATGATTTTGCAGATGTGAAAGAGAGGGCAAGCCATCTCCCATTCTGTTCGCCTCCTACATCTCTAAGGCGTATGGTCTGGCTCCTCACTTGAGACTTCGCTCGGGGAGATGGCCAAGAGTTTTCACAGCCTCAGCTCTGGGAAACCTCAGCTTCTTCCAGGAGGAAGGGTGGTGTGGCGACCACAGCTGGTGCTGGTGGTGGTGACATGGGCAGTTACAACAATGAGCATGCACCTGGGCCCAGCAGCCTTCCCTGAGCAGCAAGCTGGGTACATCAGAGAGCACAGCTTGCTTTTGTTCTCCTCACTGGGAAAACATCACCATTCCCCACTTCCATAACATCTTTCAGGGATCAGTAGATATCCCCAAATATTATTCATATTTAGGAAAGGTTGAAGTCCAATGGCCAAATGTTTTGTTTTTGTTTTTTTTGAACAATTACTCTTTATTATTACTAAGAGAGTTCCTGAGGTTTCAATATATCCTACATACAAAGAATGGTTGGTTTATTTATCAATCTATGGAAATCCACTTTTCAGATCATATGTGCAATGCATTTTGACTCCTAGGTTTGGATTACAAGTTACATATTACATGAGTATATGGGCATACACACCATGGTGAGAAGCAGACTTCTAAAAGTTACAAATATCAGATATTCATTTATCGAATCTCTCTCCTCACCCTCAACTATACTCATTGTTATCTTAATCATTGGAATGCAAGCAGGTTAAATTTTTTAAAAATGCATAGGCATTTAAACTCGGTGTGGGCAGGGCTTGGGTGCCGAAGGGCCAGCCCCAGGGCCAGTGGGCGTCTCCTGCTTTCCCTGCGTTGCTGTTGCAGCTCTGGAGCGGCCTACTCGAAAAGAGCCTGGGGCTGCTCATGGCCAAATTCGTGTAGCTGCTGCAGCAGGCGCAGGATGTCATGCTGGACCTCAAGGCAGCTGCAGATACTTTGGCTGTGAGGCAGAAAAGAAGAATTTATATCGCAACACTTTGGAAGGCATTGACTTGATTGAGAAAATGTCCAAACACAGCATCCAGTGAAGAGGTGTGGGTTCTGGCTGCAACACTAAGGAAGTCCTGGAGAGAGGGAGAGACCTCAGAGCCCAGGTTGAGGACCTGGACCTGAAGGAAAGGGACTGGATCAGCAGAAGTCCTGGCTGCAGCAGAGCATGGGAAATGTGATGGATGACGCCATTAGCAGCAGGTTTTCCTACATGACTCACGAGGACATCCGCAATTGCTTCCACAGCGACGCGCTGTTGGCCATCCAGGCACCTGCTGGCACGCAGCTGGAGGTCCCTCTTTCAGAGATGGGCCAGAATGGACCCAAGGACCAGGTCAATCTAAAGACTCACTTAGGCCCCATCCACATGCTGCTTATAAAGAGTCCAGTTGGCTCAGCCTGTGATTTTTCCTGTTCCCCCACCAGATAACCTCACACACATGCCCCGCCTCCTCCCCCTTAGCCTTCAACTCTTCCCTTCCTCCTCAGACTCTGCATAAGCTCAGCCCCGCCCCACCGAGCCCCACAGGACAGCCTGCCTCCAAGAGAGCTTGGCCTCCAGCACCTCCCAGCCATAGACTCGGCTTCAGGATCTATTACTGGAGAAATCATTAATGAGCTGATGTCTTCTGATGTTTCCTCTCCTGCGGCTCTCCCCCACCCCCCTGCGGATGACTACAACTTTAATTGAGATGACAGTGAAGGAGTGTGTGACCTGTCTGATGTCCAGATACTAAATTATTAGACTCCTAGAACAGTTATCTACCACTAACTGAAACCTTGTAGACCTGCTAATAACCTGAGAATTTATAATGAGCTGTTTAGGTCGCTGATTCTGACGTCTCCTTCCCTAATATTTGCTCTCTGACTTCACAAAACATTCACTGTGAAAACAAAGGGCCCCGAAGCCCCTGGAGTGAGTGCATTCTGGGACTTCAACTTCCCTTCCAATTCTAACTCCTGTTTTTACTCTGAGGAGAGGCAAGTTAAAAGTAGGTTGAAGGTCATCAAAAATCAAAATGGCCAGGGGCTCATCACTTGTGTTCTGCTTTTACTGCCACGAAACTGTCATATTTCTGTGCTCCAATCCTGACAGTCACTGCCAGGTAATAAGTGAAGGTGTCCAAGGGGCTATGTTTCTTCCCGTGAAGAGTCTGTGAAGTGCCTTCGTTCTAGCACTTTAAGTTCACCACGTTTCTGACTCCTGACATTCCACTTTCCTGGATTTATGTAGTTTGTTTTTAAAAATGTGCCAATGCCTGTACATTACCAAGATTTTAAAAAATAAAGTTGTATAAAGCAAAAATAAAGATAAGTAGATGTATAGGATTTATATTGCTTTTATCATATCAAAGTGTGTTTTGTTTTTTTTTTTTAAAAGAGCTTTAACTGCTTTATAAGTGGAGAAAAAGTATAGGGAAGAGATGAGGCTCAATTAAATTATTAGTTAATTATGGAAATAAACCAGTGTTTTAGGTAAGAAGATTGGTGGTGGGTGTGGTTGTGCACAATAATAAACTAGCTTGTTGACTGTGGGTCATAATCTACAAATCCAAAGATGAAGTTTCCTCTTCCAATTCTATCATGTCATTTTCCCCATTGCTGCAGGGATTTGATTACATGTTGATATTTTGTTCTAATTAAGAGAAAGGCACGGATGGCTTTTTGTTCATCTCAGTGTCTCCAGTCCTGACACTGGGTGGCACAGAGGAGGGGCTCAACCTATGGCAGAGAGAGAGGAATCTGAGAACCAGGGCCCTACAGGTACAACTAGACCTCTTCAACTCTCCAGATTGAGCATCCCACCTTCACACAGCAGGACTTTGTTGTCAGTTCTGCCTGAGTCCACAGCGTTTGTAGATTCTACTTCTTTCATAATTCGCCCCTTCTGTCTGACTCTTGAATAAGTCCCCAAGTTACTCTGAGGGTCACAGCTGTCCCATTCATCCCTGTATCCTCAGCACTCAGCACAGAGCCGGACACAGAATGGACATTCAGGAGATATTTCCAAAGGCTTTTCTCCACAGGTTAGTGGGCTATTGCTTTTCTATATAAATCACAATATTCTCTAAAGTTTTCCTAAAGCCCATTACTTGGCTGCTTCCCAATTGTTATCTGTGTGTCTCCACTTTATAGATAACTAGAGGCCTGATGCACGAAATTCGTGCAAGAGACTGGGCCCTCACAGCCACAGCAGCTTGCCTCAGCCCTCCCAGCCCTGGTTTCATCCAGAAGATCATTCAACTGTTTAGTCTAATTAGCATATTATGGGGTTTTTTTAATTTTTATTTTTTATTATAGACTAGAGGCCAGGTGCATGAAATTCGTGCAGGGAGTGTGTCCCTCAGCCCAGTCACCGTTTCCAATCTGTGACCCCTTGAGGGATGCCTGACTGCCCGTCAGGCATCCCTCTCACAATCCAGGGCTATTGGTTCCCAACTG